CACCAAACAACCTCGTGGTCGCCCACGTTTCACTCATTTATTGTGTATACTAGCTGACCCGGCAGACTCCGTAGTGCGTCAATCGATAAATAAAAGACCTAAATTCTTGTATAAAATAAACTTGAAAACTAAATTGTTTGAAAACCTTCCCTGGACTTTCAAAAGTAATTCAAGACCAAAATTAGCCAAATCGGTCCAGCCGTTCTCGAGTTTTAGCGAGACTAACGAACAGCAATTCATTTTTATATATATAGATACATTTTCTAAAAGATTATTTCAAAGCAATCAACAGACAATCAGTCTTCAAAATTTCACGCCATAGCTCGCGTTTTTATTAATACGCTTTTATTAGCTTCAGACGTATGTATGTTAGTATGTAACAGAATCTTTGAAGATGATTTTGACTCCCTTCAAAACGTCGGATTAACTCGAAATTTAGCATACTTATTAAGGACCAATGACAATTCAGTATTTAAAAAAAATTATTAAAAAATTAAAATTCAAATAAAAAATGAAAAGTAAATAATAGTTTAAAAAACTAACAAAATACGCTTTTATAGAAAATCCAACTAAAAAATATAAAGTAAATTTTAATAAATTTGAATGTAACTATACTTGAGATCTCAGAACTTATATCTCAAGGTGGGTGGCGCATTTACGTTGTGGATGTCTATGGGCTTCAGTAACCACTTAACACCAGGTGGGCTGTGAGCTCGTCCACCCATCTAAGCAATAAAAAAAATATAAAAAAAAGGTGTCTTTTAAATCAACGGGATATCGGCAAGGCGCGCCCGTGCCAAGGGAATTTATGGTACGACGCGACGCCTTCGTATGTTACATTAGTTTATTTCTTTCCAAACATCGCACTGCGTGAGACGACATGCTGTTTACAGGATGTAAGCTATTCAATAAGCTGAAAATGGAATTGGACGATAACACAAATTTAAATGAAAATCATTTTAATTTCTAGAACAAACACTTTTAATTTTAAATGGGGTAACACCTCTGGTTTTTAAAACTTTAGAAAGATGATTGAACATCATATTATAATATCACAACTTTAAATTCGTAAAAATGACAGTAAAGAAAAAAGTTTATGTATATTTATTTTTTCATTAATTACATATTTAAAAAAATTAATACAAGCAATCCAATTATACATAGACAACTTCAACATGCTTAAGATGTTCAATATTATATTAATGTTTCCGAGGATATAACTGTGAGGATATTGTTACGTTTGATCAAAATACTATAAAAAAATATGCAAATATACATCATTCAGAATGCTAAGACCTCAAAGATAGAAGATATGGTTTTCGATATGAGATCCTCGGGCAGAGAATGAAGAAACATGTCGAGCTCTGGAAAATCTCTTCTAAGCCAGTTATAACACGAAGAGGGAAATACGAGATATTCAAGACTGCAGAAACTATAGTTCTTCATTATCTCAGACTGTCCACTGTCCACTGCTGAAAATAAGACTCTTCAACTGATCTCCATTGCAGCCGGAACAATGCCACCTGACCATGCCATCCAATGCCATCCAACGTGACCCAGCGATTCTCACTAGGTCGCCGGTCCATCCCACACTGCGCTTCCCACCAGTACGTGGTCTCCACTCGAGGATCTTTCTGCCCCATCGGCCTTCCAATCCTCGCGCTATGTGGCCTGCCTTCTGCCACTTCAGTTTGCTAATCCCACGGGCTATATTAGCAACTTTGGTTCTTCATCTGGTTTGGTCTCGTAGAGAAATACCAAGCATAGCCCTCTTCAAAGCTTGCTGCGCAACACTAGGCTATAGTTCTTAGCTGTCGTCTATTAACACGGAATAGCTGATAGCTTACAGCACATCTGCTGTTTGCAAAGAGCAGAAAGCCTTAGTAATGCTTTTGTTTGTTTAAATGTTTGTCGGAGAGCGTAACCGCGTAAGTTCATTACGTTAACCCACATTCTTGTACCCACATGAGTCTAAAAATGAATGTTAGACGAGAAGATTACTTTAAGTCTACTGTGAAATAAACCGAAGACCGTAAAATAAACCCAAACGATGGAAATTATGTAACAAATAAACGAAATACAAAATAAATTCTGATTTATTTTTTCTAATGAGCCGTTAAAGTTTCGATCTCCAACCGGACCGGCTCGGTGGCCGACAACCCTCGCGTATCAACTAAATCGTTTTAGTTACAGTATAAACAAAATGTAATATACACGGAAGGTTACTTATAATGTAAGACTATCGAGTTATAACCGCTTCTTATAATAACCTTCGTTGGTATAGCGAAAATGTGTGCAGTATTTTTAAGGGAGTTATTATATTAGCTTAATTTATTGTGAAATATGAACATGCGAACGAGTGATATTCTTTGAAATTTGACCTAGTTCCGAAATTGGAAAAGTCTCATGTGTATTAAGTACCAATGACGATACAATAAATGCATATTTTTATGACTTTCGGGCTAATAACAGATAATAGTAGTAGTTTTTTTTTTTTTTTATTGCCATTGTAGGCAGACGAGCATACGTCCCACCTGATGGTGAGTGGTTACCGTCGCCCATGGACTTCAGTAATGCCAGGGGCAGAGCCAAGCCGCTGCCTATTTTCTATTCCTACCTAAACTGATAGCCTTGAGAGGCTATTTCAGCGGAACCCTAGTAGGTGAGCTCACGGGGCTCAAACCTGATGAAGTTCAAACCTGACACGAACCTAGCAAGAGCCGTGCTTCGCAGAATCTACCACCGGATCGGAAACGCGACCCACTGAGAAGATCCGGCGAGAAACTCAGTGGGCTGTGTCTGAGGGTTAATTTACTCGTCGAGCCCTTCGTCGCAAGCGACGGGTTCGACGAGAACGGTGACCGGTGCTTGAACTACCTAAAAGCACCGTTAGTGGATCGGGAGGATCCGAAATGTCGTGTGATAATAGTAGGTACTAGTTACTACAATAAATAGTTTCCCAAAAATTATGTAATTGGAATATTAAAAAAAAAAAGCATTCGTTTGAGCTCACATGTCTTTTGATGCTTTGAAAATGCTTGTTCGATATAGATAAATGGGTAGAGAAATATAAAATTATACAATGCAAAGTTCCCCGTCAAAGAAACATCAAAATAAACGTAAAAAGCATTATTACGTAAACATTCTTTAATCGAACATTCAACTACTATTTTAATGTATTTTTTACTGTTTCTCTTTACCCCGCAAGCTAATTGAAAACAAAATAGCTTAATTATCAAATAGTATGATTAATAATCTTAAAAGTTCTATTTAAGTGGTTCCTTTCGTCCATCCACTTCTTCATCTTCATTCGCCTTCAAATTTCCTCTTTAACAATTGAATTGATCTTGTGCACGGACCATTCGTTTATTACTAAATTAATAATTAAAAAAAACCCATTAAAGCAAAAGAAAACAGAATCCCAATTATTACGATGCACCGCTTCATACTAAGCAACCAATACTTTTTTTAATTTCTATAACATTAACTCTAAGGCCCGCTTACCGTGTCTAATCGCTATCAAGAATCAATCGGTTTAAAGAAAATTTAAACTTTGAATAGGTACCGTAAAAGAGTGGCCGGGGACAAGGAGGTTGGTAAGAGAGTTTTAACTATGAATGTGGAAGGCTTTAGAGCAAGAGGTAGACCTAAGAAGAAATGGATGGATTGCGTGGAATACGATATGTGTAAGAGTGGAGTGAGCGAAGAAATGGTATATGATAGAGGAGTATGGAAGGAGAAAACATGTTGCGCCGACCCCAGGGGACTGGGAGAAGGGCATAAAAATGATGATGAGTGGCTGGGTTCGTATATCTAGGACCCCTGCGGTCGTTAAAGTGATATCCGCACTATTCCACGAAACCCCGTCAACAGACAAGAACTGCTAAGCCTTTTAGCCGATGTTAAGCCCAAACACAGTCAGAAGAGTATTAAACGAAGATCCGAGACACCCAAGCTATTGAGAATAGTGCATTTCCTAAATGACTGATATGCAGTCTGGCAGCTACTTTACATTGGATGGGCTGTGAAGTCGTCTGTATTGGTAAATATTTAGAAAAGTTTGTCTCGTACTATGTTTTCTCGGCCTAATGAAAGTTATGAAGAAATTCGCGTTTTAAGTAATTTATAGGCTGATGACTGCATGCGGCAGAGATGCGAATGTTGAGATGGATGTGTGGAGTACCAAAAAGGGACAAGATAAAGAATGAGTATATCAGAGGAAGTGTGAAAGTAGCCTCGGTAATCAGCAAATTAAAGAGCGGACGCTTAGCGTGGTATGGACATGTGATGCGTAGAGAGAAGATGCATGTGACTACAAGATGTATGGAAATGGTAGTGCAAGGAAGAGGGGGAAGAGGTCGACCGAAGAAGACATGAATGGAGTGTGTGAATGACGATATGAGAGAGAGAGAGAGAAGAGTGAGTGTTGAGATGACGGCTAATAGAAGAGAATGGAAGAGAAAAATTAGCTGTGCCGACCCCACCTAGTGGGATAAGGTGGAGAAAAAGATGGGATGAAAAAAAAACTTTATGAATCAAAAAAAAATATTCTTATAATATTCATAATCCAAATTCATATAAGAAAGTCTCCAATTAAGTTGAGATTTTAAATGATATATAGTATTAAGCAGCAATCACGCTGACGGCGGACTATCCATGTCGCGTGTCCAAGCCGTGTTCAACAGGTGGACCGAAGCTCTTCATTTGACGTAATAAAAGAAAAACCGTACATGTTTAGTAAATACGACTCAACGAACTTTGGTTTGAAATGTTCTCAGATTGTTCAGTTCAGACATTGTGAATAATTTACGGTATTCGTGGTGAGTCTCTTCTTGAATTTTACGCCAAAAGTTTTTTTTTTTAAATGAATAGTTTATTATTCTAGAATATAACTAGGTAACCATGTTTGCTTTTAATTTATTTATTATAAATGAAAAGTATTAGAAGATCAGATATTAACAAAAAAATTAACCCAAATAAAACCTTAAATACTTTCTTACCCCATCTTTTTCCGGTGCGTCCAAGGAAGGTCCTTTCCTCAGGGTTCCAGATGCCATACTGAATCTTCTGGAGGAGAGGCCGCTGAGGTGGTCTCCGGCAGTAGTTCACTACTCCGTTCGGCTTGTCGGCACCCATCGCGGAATGATACTGACCGAACTTACACCACACTATTCGCAGCGATGAGGCAACGCAGAGAGGACAGCTTTATGTACCAGTTTATGCCTAACAGTAATAGCTTCTGAGAGACATATATTTTTGGCAGTAAGGCGTATTGTAATTCGACCCGGACAGGCACCGACAGCATTTTATTTGTTCTTTTTTTGGATGACTACTATAATTTAAGGCTCTTTGCTTTTAATTAAATTATTATGAATCGAAAGTGTAATAAAATCATATATTAACAACAAAATGAACGATAAATAGCCTTCAAGGCTGTCACTTTAACGTTCACAATTTATTATGTATATTAATATCATTATATTACTTGTAGTTAATATAATTATAGTTGTATTAATATTCACGAATAAAACATTCACTGATACCACATTTATTTTATTCTGAACAAAGTCTAAGAACAAACATGTTCGAAATTTTATTTACATAAAAAATAAAAAAGGTATTTACACATGCATTTATCATTACATTATGAACGCAGTTTACATAAAGGTATTGCTCTCAAGCAAGGAATTCATTTACGAAATTTTCACACATGTTTATGACAGACATTTTTACCGGTGCCCTGAAATTGATCACGGACACAAACTTTCAGTAACAGATTATAAAAATAAGCACTGACAAACAAAGTAGTGTAGTCTCCTCTACGCGTTTCGCAATTCTTTGAAAACTGCCTTTCATCCGCCAGTTTCTAGCGTCAACCGGTGCGCCGCCCGCCCTGCGACCCGCCTTTCCAATTACTTGGCTACTAAGTGATTACCATGGGAACTATTCGCGTAGGTCAAGGGCTGGAAATTTCCGTGCAATTCCCACATTGTACACAGGGCTGTTCGCTTCATAGGAGACATAAAATTAGATAGTAGATATCGATTAAAATGGTATTTGTTTCCTCATTTTGGCATTGCTGAAGTCCATGGGCGACGGTAATCACTCACCTTCAGGTGCCGTAATCTCGTCTGACCACACTGGAAAAAAAAAAAATTTGCCATCTCCAACATGGTGCAATAAGCACAGCTGTACTATCTACCATCTTTGTCTGTAGAAGAAGATTTTTCTTTTCTTTCTGGAAGTTTCAATATGTGTGATGAATGTTCACGAGTGCTCATAATTAGTAACCTGTTAGCATGGTATTTCTTGTTATTGTGCCGCCACCCCCTGTCAGACATGAGGTTGAAATATCTATTGTATTGTATATGATTGCTCACTCTTCTAACTTGAACGCATAGCTGTTTTGCGGCAAAACCCGCTTAGGTTACAATACGCTCTACAACCAGTAAAGGTGATTACAAATTACAAAAAGTGAGTGTGTACCAATCAAGGACAAGGGATAAAAAACAAGGTATGCCCGGTCATCTGGCCCTAAGATTCCATGGACAATAAAAACCGGAGACTGATTGATATACATACAGATATACAGTTTAAGTATAATATATAAACACAAAAAAACATACTAAGCACAGAAATAGAGCAAACAAACCTGCCCTTCACAAAAATGTTTGCTCGACGAAACCTCGGCACAGCAGTTGGGGTCGGTAACTACTGCGCCACTGGGTAAGTCTCGATTAGAATAAACTGAGTCAGAAAAGAAATTAGCTTTAAGCTCCTCAAAACCTTTAATTCTCGACTTTAATTTCCTGATAATAATCGTCTTTATTGAAAATAACATGGGTGTCTTTAGTGAAAAGGATATTGTTACGCCGGTAAGAGTAACGCTATCTATCGCCAAATAGTCGAACGAATATCGAAGGATCTAGTAGTATCTAGAACGCTCGAGAAGTACAACGCCATCTATTGTCAGATAGCGGAAACAACAATATTAGACTTTTGTGGAACATTCTCGACGATTCTAGGGATTTCGTCTCGACTATAAAAGCGTTGCGTATGGCACGCAGTCAGTTAGCAATCGGAACTACTCGAAGCGAAACAGCGAACGGATCACCTGAAGCGAAACAGCGAACGGATCACCTGAAGCGAAGCAGATTGAGAATTTTAAAGTGTTTGTTGAGTGTTTTAAGTGTTCTAAGTGTTGAATACAGTTTTAAGTTGTACTTTGGTGGAACTTTTTTATTTATCCCGAACCCCAACGCGTAACAATATCTTTAGTAACAAGTGTCTGTTTTAAAACATTCAAATATACTTACTGTATGTACTTAATTCTAAAAATATATTGAAAGTAATTGAAAGTACGGTGCAAACTTAAATAAGTACCTATTCTCAGAACCTAACCTATTGTGCATTAGCAAAAAACTTTAGGTACTTACAAGATACATAATCGCATTATAGTAAAGCATATTAAAAAACAGTACACAATTATACATACAATTTGTTCTCTACTTTGCATATACATCTGGTATTATACATAGATCTTATGTAAAGTTGTGGTCGAAAGTTTAATTAGGACACAATTCATTTAATGAAGTCCAAAATAATTTTGGTTCTTGTGGCCAGAGCCATCCTGTTCATGGTAGAGTCCAGAATTATTTATTATACTTAGTTATATATTCGCACTGAACGTCTTCCTAGCTCAGGACGTCTTCCTAGGTAATTTAGGTACCAGTTCATTCACATTTACCAACATCCTGCTGGGTTTTTTCTTATTGCTTAGATGGGTGGATGAGCTCACAGCACACCTGGTTTTAAGTGGTAACTGAAGCCCATAGACATCTACAACGTAAATGCGCCACCCAGCTTGAGATATAAATTCTAATTTCTCAGTATCGTTACAAGGGCTACCCCACCCTTAAAATGTGTTAGATTTAAAATGTGCCCATTAAAAATGAATTTCTAATAGGATAAGGGATGTATTCTGTATAATATTATTATCCTGCATTGGTTCTTTGGCTATTGAATTTCCTTCAACCAATTCTCAATGACTGTGAAGTGGTATTGCATTAAGTAGGCGAAAGACAATCGCAATGTTGCTTGAATAACTAATATGACATTATTTTTGTAAGCTATATTTGTGCGCACGGCCAGCACTCACATGGACGTATTTACAAGAATAATACCGCCAGTCCGCGGTACACATTACATAAGGAATAACTTAAACTTTATCTATGAGAGTGGATATAATATATGTATATAAGATGTGTATATAATAGAGTTAGACGGTCACGTTGGCTGAGTTTTCCACGTCCACCTGGATGGGTGTGTATCCGGAGAAGTCCTTGATGCTAAAGCGGTATTGGATATTCTTTGCCCACGCGCGGCATCTTAACGCGATCAGCTTTCCCACTGTTTGACAAATAATAAATGTTATTGCTGTGATTAGGGTGTTTTCCCTAGGGTGACATGCTTTATTCATTTTAAACTGGCCAGATGTTCTAAGATTGCCAGATGTTTCAAAGCCTTCCACTAGCCGTAGTTACAGTTCAAAATGCAAGAGCAACTAATTAACATAATTCAAACTATACGGCTTGATCTCTATTTCTTCTATTCGTATTCTTTCATTGTGGATCCATTGAATGAGATTGTTTCTCACGGCTTGGTGGTAAGTGGATTAAAATTCGATGTTTTGCCAGAATAAAAAAAACTATTATGCAGAGCATGTAGATATCATAGGCGTCTCACAAGGAGTGTTGCAATCTAAATACCAATAGCTGTTGTTGTTAGTCCACGATGCCATCCGCGGGGCCGAGGATAGGCAAGGCTGGCGCAGGATCATCTAGGAGAAAGCTATTAAAGGAAGCACGACCCTCAGCATTGAGGATTATCGACGCAAAGACGGTAGCCACTTCCTCGTCACTCTAGGGATGCACAAACGTCAATATTTAAATTAATGATTTGTTTTTCTTGTAATTTTTTTGTGTCTATTTTCCAACATTGCAATCACACAGAAACTTTCGCCATCAGCCAGGTCACCATCAGGTTTTGCTCTGTGTTAAATGCGTAATTTCATTACCTGGGGGAGTGATCCTCACTGCTACAACAGGACTCGTCTGCCCTTCCTTGTTCAAAAATGGGAAGGAGCTCCCCTGGATTCCTTGACCCCAAGGATATTCTATGGTAGTGCCATTATCTTTCTCTTCTAAACACGATATCCATACTCGTTTAGTCTGTTCAGAGAGAAAACGATTGATAGTGAAAAAAAGAATGAATATCATTCATAAAAAATAAGCGTAGGCGTACTATCATGACCAAATATCATGATCATATCATTCATCAAAAAATAAACGTGGGCGTATGACCTAAGTTTTATTTGAATTTGAACGAAGTCAGTCCGTGAACTTAGAGAAAAACAATACAGATATTTTATCTCAAGATCGGATTCGGTTACCACTTTTAGGTTTTTGGTAGGTTTATTTTAGGACGACTTGATCTTTACTTTTTCCCACACAGGTGGCCTACGGAGTTTCTCGCCGGATCTTCTCAGTGGGTCGCGTTTCCGATCCGGTGGTAGATTCTGCGAAGCACTGCTCTTGCTAGGGTTAGTGTTAGCAACACTCCGGTTTGAGCCCCGTGAGCTCACCTACACACGTTAGGACGAAACTGAAATAGCCTGTCAAGGCTATCAGCATAGATAGAAAAAAATAATATCAATAGTAACTTCACATTATAAAAAACAATCATAAAACACCTCGTTCGCATCTAATCCTTTGATATGCTCCACTAAGTCTTCCGGCATGTCTGCTGGCAAATCCGTGCTCTCGTAATAAACCGGTGTCCAGCCATATATCTGGAAATAATAATAAAAATTTGTAATAAAACAGTACGCCGTACAATAACTGTTTTGATTAATACCTGCCGCTAAGCAAGCTTGCGCAGCAGTTTGTAAGATAAAATGAACTTTATTCCAATGCACCGAGCAAAGATATCTTGAGGAGAATTTCCCTAGTAACTGGAGTCATAAGCTGACATAATCGTCAGCACTTCATCATCCACACCCACAGTCGTCCACTGCTGGACATAGGCCTCTCCCAATCCTCACCACTGAGCCCAGTCTTCGCCGCTCTCCACATCCACTTCTTGCCCGCCACCCTTTGGAGGTCATCGCACCGCCTAGTCAGGGGGCGTCCCACGTTACGTTTTCCGCTACACGGTCTTCCCTCGAGAACCCGTCTGCTCCAGCGATCCTCAGTTCTACACTTCACTGCCACTTCATCTATGTCGATGACTTTAGTTCTTGAGATATGAGTTCTAAGGTCCCAAGTATAGTTACAACGGCTGCTCCACCCTTCAAACCGAAACGCATTACTGCTTCACGGCAGAAATAGGCGGGGTGGTGGTACCTACCCGTGCGAACTCACAAGAGGTCCTACCACCAATATCCTTTAGAGAAACTTCTAGAATGGCTCTTTCCATAGCTCGCTGAGCGACCTTGATCTGACGGACCGGTTGGTAATCACTGATAACTCTCAGTCGATTCTATACTTGACGATAGTTAGAAAAAAAAAGGTGCATTAATACCTTATTGATTTTTATGAAAAGGCACGGTGTGTCGGGATACCCGTAATTGTCGTCAGATTTGCAACCATTTTCCGATTTGTAACTGCTATCCATTAAGTAAGCTGAAACAATTAATAAGTACATTACTAGATATTTAATAGTCACGTATGCAGTATTACGGCCTGTGTGCGTAGTGCGAGTTTTTTAACGATCTCGATAGCGTAAAAGTTAACTCAAATTGTACGTCAATTACGTACAATTACGGGTCTACTAATTGCGAATTAATAAAACAATATTTTTTTAAATATATCGTTCCGCCCGTCGCATTAGGCTCGTAGTTATTATGTTTTTAGAATTACTTTTTTCATATAATCTCTTTTGTATAAAATTTAACATTTTTGTTTTTGTTTAATAAAAGTACTCAATTTTTTAACATTTTACCGTAAATGTTTGTTTTGCGAGAAAACGTTTCTTGCGAGAAAGGGTAGGCGAAAAAATCTTCATCCTGAAATTCTTACTGCGGACTTATTCTAAGTCGTTTTGAATTCATTTTCCTATCCTTCCAAATGTGTAATGTCTAGCTAAAGGCATGGCATTCTGTTTCATATGGTAGATTCAGCGAATCACTGCTCTTGCTAAGACTAGTGTTAGCAAATTCTCTCAATTTGAACCCGCGAGAGCTCACCTACCCATTCACGTGTAACTTTTTTTATTTTATTGCTTAGATGGGTGGACGAACTCACGGCCCACCTGGTGTTAGGCGGTTACTAGAGCCTATAGAAATCTACAACGTAAATGCGCCACCAACCTTGAAGCCTTAACTGGAATACCCCCTTCAACAATCGGCCAATAGGTTTTCTTTTTTATTGCTTAGATGGAATAAAGTAGTTAAAGTAGGAATAAAAACAGTAGGAATAAAAAAACAGTTTCAATGTCACAGTTTAACGTTAATTCAATGACGATTTTTCCGTTTCATTCTAAGCTTCCATCAAACATAAACATTGTTAGTACATTGTGGAGCACTCAGTCGCGAGCACGCCCTGCGCAGGGTGTGTCTGCTAATCATCAACCGTGACCGATCTGTTTGTGGAACCTAATTGATTACATCTAAAAGGTTTTAGCCAACGACTAGCAATAAGCATAATGGAACAGGAGTGTTTCATATTAGTTTATATGGTCATTTTATATATCAGCGCGCCGCGGCAGAACACCAGCCATATGGTCAAATCTGGTTTAGAGAGCGGCTGGTGGTAGTCTTTAGCATACGGTCAATGCCACCCATGACCGAGCACTATGGAGGAAAGTCACATGTGGTCGCGATCCTCAGCAGTGAGGTAACGATGAAGAAGAAAATGAATACGATCATCTGAATTCACAATCCCCCTTCTATTCAGTTTGAGGTCCATAAGCAATAAAACGTACATTCCATCGTCTTAACATGAAACTAAAGCGGCTTTGTCGAAGAAATAGATAAAATACTGATGCATATATTAAAAAAAAATCACTTGTTAAAACTATAATTACTATTTTTTGTTTTCGTATCACAATGTAGACGATATGTTTATAAAGAAATGTTCAGTTCATGAGCTGACGTCACAACGAAAGCGAAGTTGACTCCGCGTGTCTGGTTGTAGTGTTGACCGCGGGAACCCCCCTACTCTGAACGGGTTCTGACCCCGGACGGAGATCGGACGTCGGGTGTAAGAGTGCAGGGGAGTCGTTTAGTAGGTGGGCCCTAAAATCCTTGTGCCCGCGATCTGCTCTCAACACCTGCAGATCGTTGAGTCTCACATACCCCGCGCGCCCCCTAGGCGCGGGGACCTCGTAGGAGGTTCGGCCCCCGGCCCGAGAAAAAAAAAAAAAAAAAGTGTGTTTTGAAATGATTTGACGTCATCAATCTCTTCGCAACAATATATTCCTTTCACTTATTTTTTTGTGTCGTTAATAATTATGGTCTCAGTGGATACGCATTACTCTAGGGATATAATTCGCCTTTTGTCCTTTGAAACAGGAATGATCGAGTACTTACGCTGAAAAAACTCGTCGAGGTCTTTTAAAATTGCATTAGTTTCAGTGAAATTGTTTATGTCGATGCTGATTTTGATGCCGTCATTTGGTCTAGGTCTGTAGGTCACTCCTGGATTCGAACCTGAAACATGTATATTTGTACTGATGATATGGTAACAATTCTAATCAAAATACAGAGAAAATTAATTATTATTTGAAGTGTAGATTACTGTAGAACTATATTGCATATACTGCATATCAATATACATGCATTTTCAAACTGGTGGTTGGACTTCTTGTGGGCCCGCTCGGGTAGAGACCACCACCCTGTCTATGTTTAATGTGAAGGAATATCGACTATCGGCTTGAAGGGTGGGGTAGCCCTTGCTGTAAAACTGATACTTAGATCTCAAGGTGGATCGCGGCATTTACGTTGTTAATATATAAGGACTAGGTACCGTAACCACTTAACACCACATGGACCGTGAACTCGTCCACCGATCTAAGCAATAAAAATGCATTACATGTATATGTAATTATTACGTTACATGCATATTATATCCATAGTTTACTTATATTACAAATACGCAAGTGAGTTTGTTTGTGACGCATTCACGTCTTAACTACTGAACCGACCTTAATGAAGTCCTGCATGCACCCTATCAGGGGTAAAGAAAAGGATATGAAGTTTTCATCTAGAAAAAACTACTCCTCGGCTATAATAAATTATTGTACAATTACCCGAAAACGTTAAAGGCTAGTTAGTGTGTGTAGTGTACATAAAAATCAATTACCACATATTATTTTGTACATACATACACATATGACGGTGCATCACTCAGAAAAGCTCGACCGATTTGGCTAATTTATTTTGCGTTGTATACGTTATTATCATAACAAGGTTTGGTTATAATATTAATGGAAAATCGAGGGGGAATATCATATAATTCGCGATAGCCACAGCACAGCAAAACCTTTGGATATTGTGTTTACATAGTATATATATTTTGTTTAAACATTATAATCACTGTAATGTTGTATCTATGAGTACGCGGTAAAAAATCTATTACTTACCTATTAAGGATCGGTCGAGCGTGTATGTTGGTGTGGTAGCATCAATGTGGTATACCAGACCCGCCATGCAGATGCCGAATAGAAGCGCCAGCGCCGCGTAAAATACCAAGTAGAATACTAGTACGATACCTAAAAAAATACCTAATACTTTATAAAGTTTTCTTTCGCTTCGCTACTTGATGCAACGGTGTTCGAATCCCGCAGGCGGGTACCAATTTTTCTAATGTAATACGTACTCAACAAATGTTCACGATTGACTTGCACGGTGAAGGATAAAATCGTGTAATAAAAATCATCGACTTCCACGGTGAAGGAATAACATCGTGTAATAAAAATGAAACCCGCAAAATTATAATTTGCGTAATTACTGGTGGTAGGACTGAGTCCGCACGGGTAGGTACCACCACCCTGCCTATTTCTGACGTGAAGCAGTAATGCGGTTCGGTTTGAAGGGTGGGGCAGCCGTTGTAACTATACTGAGACCTTAAAACTTATATCTCAAGGTGGGTGGCACATTTACATTGTAGATGTCTATGGGCTCCAGTAACCACTTACACCAGGTAGGCTGTGAGCACGTCGACCCATATAAGCAATAAAAATAAAATAAAATAAACTTGTATAGCGTATGTATTTGCGTACTAATGCGGATGACTATAAGGTAATGACGTACTTTACGTAAACATATTCATGTTAAATACGAGCATATTATTTAGTTGGCGCAATAGTATTTTAATACGTACATATGAGTCGTCTATTATCAAAGGTGGCAATCTGTGCATTTGGACAAAAATTTTTTATTGATATGTCAATATAGATTTATTTGAATATAATCGTCTCCTTCAAAGAATACGGTTCAAAACCTGCATTAAATAAAGGTTAATAGTTAACCTGTTATTTATCTAAGATGTCGTTCCGAAGAGTTTTGTGACTGCCAATGGAATACAAAGTCAATAATTCGTTTTTCTGATTTACCAATCATTGTCCAAAAGTCAGATTGCCGGCTTTGATAATAGTCGACTCATATATGAGTCGTCTATTATCAAAGGCGGCAATCTGTACATTTGGACAAAAATTTTTTATTGATATGTCAATATAGATTTATTTGAATATAATCGTCTCCTTCAAAGAATACGGTTCAAAACCTGCATTAAATAAAGGTTAATAGTTAACCTGTTATTTATCTAAGATGTCGTTCCGAAGAGTTTTGTGACTGCCAATGGAATACAAAGTCAATAATTCGTTTTTCTGATTTACCAATCATTATCCAAAAGTCAGATTGCCGCCTTTGATAATAGTCGACTCATATCACGGTTATTTAAACGGTCATTAATTTATGATTATTTATTGCGCCGATTGTTCGCGTGACGAACCATACTACCAAAACAGAATTCCCTTCTTTAAAATAACTACGAAATATCCGTAGTGTTAATAAGCACAATATTGCTGTCGGTTCAAATATGAAGTCCAACGATTCCCCCCAAAAATGATTTTAGATCTCGGATGCATTTAAATCATCTTGGTAGGCAGCGGCTTGGCTCTGCCCCTGGCATTGCTGAAATCCATGGGCGACGGTAACCACTCACCATCAGGTGGGCCGTATGCTCGTCTGCCTAAAAGGGCAATAAAAAAAAAATTAAAAATCTAATGAGTGAGCTCACCTGCAACGCTTTTTTTTTTTATTGCTTAGATGGGTGGACGAGGTCACAGCCAACCTGGTGTTAAGTGGTTACTGGAGCCCATAGACATCTACAACGTAAATGCGCCACCCACCTTGAGATATAAGTTCTAAGGTCTCAGTATAGTTACAACGGCTACCCCACCCTTCAAACCGAAACGCATTACTGCTTCACGGCAGAAATAGGCAGGGCGGCGGTACCTACCCGTGCGGACTCACAAGAGGTGCTACCACCAGTAAAAGAGTGCGTATCGGATTAACCTCCTATCCTAACACTGTAGTCCGGACACATAGGATAGACACCCACACGGCGGGAGGGGTATGTGGGAGTTGAACCTCACTAAAAACTCCTGCCACTCACAGCCGGCGCCCTACTCCGGACCGAGCCGAAGCCTAGTCGGAGCTATTGAGACGGCAGGACAGGGTTTACGCAGAGCATGTTACATCTATCTAGCCGTCCCCAGGATAGAAACGTAAGACGTTGTTAAAGGACAATAAATACGCACTCACAACACTAAAATATATCGAAACTAGAAGATTTGGTGGGCAGAATAAGTTAGAAGTAGATGAACAGGCCTTAATTGCATAACGAGACTTTCTGACTGAGCGTCTCGAAAGAGCGGATGATCAGCACGACGATCACCGTCACGTTTCAATACTACGTAATGTCATTCGTATGTCCCACAAAACGCACAAAAATACGCCAGGTTAAAATCGTGAGACGAATAAAAATCGTATCGGACGCTGTAAAACAACTGCAGTGTGCTCATGTAATATTACACTTGGTGTCATATTCCATGTTCATACGCGTTACTATAACTTGATATAATATTAAAAGTCACGGTTACTTAAGGAACATTCGAGAGTTAACTAGAATGGAGAAAAAGCGTATCATACACGAATGTTAAGTTTTACTCTCAGGACTACCAACCACATAATCAATAAAAAAAAGACTGCGAGACGTGGTTGGTCGTGGACGCGGGTGAAAACAATTATTTATTTTAGTGAATTCACAATTTACTATTCTTCCAATGCTTCGCAGATTTTGACGGGTCGATGAAAGTGATAGAAGTACATTGGCTATAAAAAAAATCCTGTGTTATTAATGCCAGAAATGTACATTCGCATATCGACAAGCCAATATCTCAGTAAGATACGGATTCGACCAGAAATCCATTTCGTATTTCTACTATATTAAGAGACACACAAATACATTGTCACCTAATTTTGCCGCTTTATTCTTTATTCAAAATTAAAATGATTTTCATTTGATCAATCTATTTACATTGATTACCGCATAATTAATTTTAAAACGACTGACGAATTAAAATATTCGTTTTCCAGCGTATTTATTGTGTATTTCGTATTCTCTACAACCTAAACTTTTAACGGATTTCAACAGATGAGGTTTTATTAGATTCGTCTGAGTTGTGGAAGTGATATGGAGACACAAACGTGTCACTGCCTAACTTTTTTTTTGGAATGGAGGGATAGCTGATAGTGTGACGGCCTTTCCCGCTTCGCCAGCATGTATGGGCCAACTCAAGGTTAAGCCTAGACGGCAAGGCTCTCTAACAGCTGCCCGAGCCTCCGAAAGAAGTCTGACAGCTCCAAAGTCATCTGCTTTGGATCTACTATCGAGTCGGAACACGACCCCTACCGAAGATCCGGCCAGAAACCTTAGCGGGCTGATATCACAGGCCAGGCTTCATGTCGAACTCTTCCTTGAGTTCAACGAGTAGCTTTCTCTTATCACTTCAATACTGTTCGTTGTACAAAAATCGAAAAATCAATAGTGTCGTGTATTTCATAAATTCGCGTTTCTGAGCTTCGTGAATTTGCCACTACCCTGCCTACCGACAATTAAACAAATTATAGTTTTGGCGGGCTTAGTTTTTATCAGACCTTGTTTATTCCTTCAACATTAAAATAATCCGTGAACATAAATTAGGTACAATATATTTGCTTAGAAAACGTAGGAATTACCTGCGGGGTTTGAACACCAGGATAGTCGTATCGCTCGACACGTCATGTAGTTACAACAGACGTCTCATTCTGTACGATGGCTTCAGTCTTGCTTCCAGTAACTGCTTAATATAGGGCAGACTGTAATGTTGTCTGCGTAGGTATGCTTTTTTTTTTATTGCTTAGGTGGCTGGACTAGCTCACACCCACCTTGAGATATAAGTTCTCAGGTCTCAAGTATAGTTACAACGGCTGCCCCACCCTTCAAACCGAAACGCATTACTGCTTCACGGCAGAAATAGGCGAGGTGATGGTACCTACGCGTGCGGACTCACAAGAGGTCCTACCACCAGTAAAAATGCCTATGCCTATATCAATTAAATTAACAAATCTTACCCCATCGTTTGGCTGTTCGTCCCAAGAAGCTCCTTTCTTTAGGATTGTAAATAGCTCGAGCTATCCTCGACCATACTGAGCCTAGGTGCTCTGGTCCTCTCACCCACTCCTTTTCCTCCGTCGTATCGTTCTCAGGCATTACAAATTTATCACAAATTTAAATGCGACCTATGTTTCGTCCTGCTTGGATATTAAGGACTCTTCTTTTAATATAATATTAATTTACGTAAAGAAAATCAACAAGCAATTGATTAATTTTAAGGTGTTTTGCAATGTTTTGTTTGTTTGTTTGCTTGATGTTTTTTTTTTCTAATTTGCGACTGTCATTTGCGAAGTCGTCGTGCGTACTGCGCGTACGTCGTTCTCGTCGCGTCGCCGGTCGCGTGCCGTTTCGTTATATTTATAAAATGCCAAGGAATTCAGACGTTGATTTAGATATAAAGATCTTCTGTGGGTGTGTCGGTCGCGTATAACTAATGATCGTGACGTTTAATGTAGCTAACTATTTAATGTTATTTTTTTAAATGTAAACAACGTAATTATCGTGACGCTTTTAATGGAAGATAAATTAGGTTTATTAACTTGATCCAATCAGGAAATAATATGAAACATCAAATGTCGCAAGTTTCGATAAGTAATTTTCAAATTCAACAATACAAATTAATTTAACGCTGAGATGATTAAAATCATAATATTAAATTTTTGGTTATCCATTTTAATATTTGGTTACTAGTATTTAACATTAGTTTTATCAGCCTCTCTGTCTGATGGCTTGAACGCGACCATTAATCACGATATTAACATCAACAAGACATATTAACTTACACCTGGTGGTGTAAGTACAGCTGGTGTACCATAACTGGTGGTAGGACCTCTTGTGAGTCCGCGCTGGTAGGTAACACCACCCCGCCTATTTCCGCCGTGAAGCAGTAATGCGTTTCGGTTCGAAGGGTGGGGTAGCCGTTGTAACTATACTGAGACCTTAGAACTTATATCTCGAGGTGGGTGGCGCCTTTACGTTGTAGATGTCTATGGGCTCCAGTAACCACTTAACACCAGGTGGGCTGTGAGCTCGTCCACCCATCTAAGCAATAATAAAAAACCTGTTAGTACTGTAGAAAAGCGTTAACCCGCGTGCCGTACCCTTTTAATAGCCCTTTCATGAGTGAACAATACACAATATAGCAGGGGTGGCCAACTTGATTAGAACCAAGATCTACTGTCTACTGCGATCTGCCAACGACCTTTCTTGAAATTTAATGAAACCAAATAAGTAGCATATTTTCTTTTATTAAAAATATTAAAATAAACCTGAAATTATATAATAAAAGAGAACTATTTTGTGGAAGAGAGGATAAATAATGTGACGTAATGGTCATTAATGAATGATACAAGATGAAGATGATGCGTGCAGCAATTGGTGATCTACCGGTTGGCCACCCCTGAAATATAGCAGTTGTTACACAGTTTTGATCATCCATCCTTTTTGTTTGACTGCATCTGGCCATTTAACAAAAAATCCGTATTAATTGTATTCCTGCGACGTGTGAGTACAAGTGCACGAACCAGAAGGAGCGACCGTCTGACACATGTGGTAAAGATGAGCCCGGTACAGTAATAATAATTTTAAAATCACACACACTCACACACACATACACACATTTTTTAGAATGAGTTTTGTGTTGATGATACATAAACACAAACAATCTGTTCGAACCTTTTTAAATCGTTGGGTTCACGGAAAGACTGAATTGGTGAATGATCTTGCATTTTCTATAGATTTTAAAAATAGATCCACATACATTAAAGTCCTACTAGTGTTGAGTGGTCATCGTCGCTGATGTACGTCGAAGCAAAAGAAGCGGTCAAGAACTGTCAACCGCTGAGCATTTTACTAAATAAATGATAAGGCAAATTTTCAATAAAAAAGAGAGAGGGAGAACACTTTATTACCCTACAAAACACAATTAATATTTAAAAAAAACAGTCAACAAGCAGATGCAATTGTACAATAGGCGGTTTTATCGCTAAAAGCGATCCCTTCCAGACAAGCGTTTAATTAATTAAAGTCAAAAAAGCCAGCTTGCTTCAACAAAATAAGGTGTTTAATCTTATCAATGTAGTCGAAGTCAGTCAATTATTTATTAATGAGAAAAACTCAAAACCTACTGCTCAGGTCTTGATAAATCTTTAAATAATAACACATGAGAACCACTAAATAAAAGAATTATCAATATCATTTCACACAGAAAAAACATCCGCAACATAAATAATACAGTCGAATTTGCTCCTCGACGAACTCTTCATTTTTTAGAAGTCGGTTAAAAATGATACCGAAATGTCGTTTCTACCAGCAAACCTGTGAACCTTGACTCATTGCTTCCACTTGGAATGACAGATTGTATAATACTAAAAAATACAAAGTACATACAATATACCGATGCTGTAATTTCGGATATACCCAGGAGCGCTAACCTCTACAGTTACGAAGCTATATGTGTTAAGAGTTGATAGATATAGAAAATCCTTATCAAAAAAAGAAGAAAACATATACATAGTCAGCAGTGACAATAGGTGTCTTGACTAGTGAAAAAATATCTGTCAGTTCGTGAAGTAAAACAAAATAACAAAACTGTGATTTAGATTTTTAAAAATCTAAAACAACCGCGTAATTAATTCTAATTTATAAAATTATGTTACTATATTATTTCGTAACTGCCTGTGCCTGCGATTTAAACATAGGACTGCTACCAAGATCTTTAAATTGTATCAATATGCTGTTGAGTACGGAAGACACGATGTACAGTTTATTTTATAGGCCTTAATGGACGGTCTGACCCACGATCCACCTGGGGATTGATTGTTACCCAAACCTATAGGCATCACAACGAGAATGCTTGGAAGTCTTGGAGCATTGCAATCCATGTTTCTATTCCATGTGTCGCCGCCCCAACCTTCAAACCGAAACAAGCTCCTTCGCTGCAAAAATGCACTGGATGACGGCATCTACCCGTGCTGGCTGTGCCCTACTGTCAGTAAAAGCCAGTAATTTTTTAAACACACAAATTTCACAATATACGGCTTGAAGGATGTCTTGAGGTAAGTACCACCCTCTGCCTATTTCTGCCGTAAAGCAGTAATGCGTTTGGTTTGAGGGGCGAGGCAGCCGTTGTACTGTTAAAACTGAGACCATAGAACTCATGTCTAAAGGCGGCGGCATTTACGTTGTTGATGTTTAGGAGCTCCGGTAACCACTTAACACCAGGTAAGCCGTGAGCTAGTCCAGTCATCTAAGCAATAAATTAAAAAAAGGATAGCCACATTAACCGTTACAAAAACCCCTTCACAAAACATTGTTGTATTATTTAAATGTCTTCCCACAGTGCTGTTTAGATCAGTACGAGGTCATCCTTTCAGAACGAGACAGAGGGTTCACGGTATTGTGATGTGCGCTCCCGTGTGCCGTCTCATTGTGCTCAATATGCACGTGCATACTGAAGGTCTTTTTTTCTGATTAAATACAGGGTCTTGCTAAATCCAAAACAGCTTAAGCGTCTATGACGAGAATGATTTAAATAGTTACCAAACCTATTACCTATGAAAACGTCGTGGCCTAAAGGATAAGACGTCCGGTGCATTCGTATCTAGCGATGCAACGGTTTTCGAATCCCGCAGGCGGATACCAATTTTTCTAATGAAATACAATTGCATTTCTAATGAAATTAACAAATGTTCACGATTGACTTCCGCGGTGAAGGAATAACATCGTGTAATAAAAATGAAACCCGCAAAATTATAATTTGCGTAATTACTGGTGGTAGGACCTCCTGTGAGTCAGCAGGGGTAGGTACCACCGCCCTGTCTATTTCTGCCGTGAAGCAGTAATGGGTTTCGGTTTGAAGGGTGGGACAGCCGTTGTAACTATATTGAGACCTTAGAACTTACATCTCGAGATGGGTAGCGCATTTACGTTGTAAATGTCTATGGGCTCCAGTAACCACTTAACACCAGATAGGATGTGAGCTCGTCCACGAATATAAGAGAAAAAAACCTCCCGTGTCAATACAACGCTCTTGCCTGCCTCTAGTGTTTCACATTATTCCTGTACCGCCCATTCTATTCCTGCAAGCTGGTCCAAAGCGCTCAGCAGTGGTTCAACTGTACCACTTTTGGACCACTTACCATCATGCCGTTTGCCTATTAAGGCAATAAATATCTACATGAACCGTGTTCACAAACAACTTCCACGATGAAGGATTACCATCATGTATGAAAGTCAACTCGCCGAATTGCATAGTGATTTGATACAAGTGGAACCATATTCCTTATTTGAAGTGTCAGTCCAAATCTACAATTGATAGTTCAAACTCGTGTCTATTGTGGCACGGTATTTGATTAACATTAAGTCGTGGATGTGTATAAAATTGTTACGCCGGTAAGAGTAACGCCATCTATCGCTGAATAGCCGAAGCGAATATAAAAATCTATTAACATCTAGAGCACTCGAGAAATACAACGCCATCTATTGTCAGATAGCGGATACACACATCGAAAATATTCGAATTATTAGGAATGTTCTCGATAATTCTAGAGATGTCGTACCGACTATAAAAGCGTTGCAGATATGGCATGCAGTCAGCAATCGAAACTACTCGAACGAAACAGCGAACGGATCACCTGAAGCGAAGCGGAAGAAGTGAATTGAGAATTTTAAAGTGTTTGTGAAGTGTTTTAATTGTTCTAAGTGCTAATACAGTTTTAATTTGTACTTTGGTGGAAATTTTATTTAACCCGAACCCCAGCGCGTAACAAAACGAAAAGCAGCTTAAAACGTAAATGTCTTGTCCATATATTATATTCTTTCATCGTCATCCGATTCTGAGAGCTATATTCAAAATTTCAGCCTGTAAACTCACGAAGATGTTCAAGTAACTTCGTTTTATTAGAACAGACTTATTATTACGTAGATGAGAGCGAAATAAAGGGAGTGGTTAGTACTTTTCAGTACGCATGGAATCAAGCGGTCTACCATTTACATCGGAACTTCCGATTGTATCGCTGGAAACATGGGCCGAAAGTGTTTTGACTACGTGGCACAACATTAGCACTACCCAATGCTTTCTTAGATGGGTGGACGAGCTCACAGCCCACCTGGCGTTAAGTTACTGGAGCCCATAGACATCTACAATGTAAATGCGCCACCCACCTTGAGATAGTTCTAAAGTCTTAGTATAGTTGCAACGGCTGCCCCACCGTTCAAACGGAAACGCATTACTGCTTTTAGGTAGAAAGAGGCGGGGTAGTGGTACCTACCCGTGCGGACTCACAAGAGGTCCTACCGCCAGTAACTGTAATACCGTAATTCACTTTGTTACGTATATGGGCTCCGGTAACCACTTAAAATCAAGTGAGGGGCGTGCTCATACACTCATCAGAGCAAAAAGAAATTAGAAATGGCGACTACTCATATGGGTGCCAATACATCCTGTCGCCGGTACCAATGGTCCGACAGATGGTGCGACGTATGTGTGCTCGTAATTATCTATATTTAAAAAAAATGAATCTGTCTAATGTATGTACGCGCATAACTTCAGAACGCCGGCAACAAAATGGATAATTCTTTTTTGTTGTTTGTAATTGAAAAAAAAATTTAAAAAATGCGCCAAAAATTAGAAAATTTAAGAAAACATAACCACCATATTAAATTTTTTAATGTAACATTATGGCGTTTGACATAACATAGACAGAATGCATGCTGCAAATATCAGATTTTTATAAAGAAAATTCAATAAAATCAATAATAAATTTTAGTCCCCGAAGCGAAGTAAGGGCTGGTTGCTGGTTAGTAAATAAATTAAAATAATTCTGGCTCTTTTTTTAAATTCCAATTTATTTTTCCAATATTTTTAGACACACATTTATCAACACGTATCACGTAATTACTAACGCTAAAAACATTACATCTTACATTATTTTAGTCTTCAATGGACGGTTGCGTTTACCCTAATAATAATATAAATATTGCCATTAACAAGAAAAAAATTGAGATTCAATATTGCTTAATATCGATATTAGACTTTTGTTTTAAAAATTCATTAATTTCTGCTTGGCAGGAAATAGTACGTAGACAATCCATAGAGCAGAAATGTGTGGAACGGTGGTACATACCCAGGTCGGGCCACCCTGTAATTTCACAGTTAAAAAAATACATAACATCGTTCATATCCATTTCCGAAATCATGACACAGTAACAAAAAGAACACCGCGAGCGATTTTTCTATTATTTTTTAAAGAACACAACGTAATGAAAATAATTATTATAAGTCAGCTGACGAACGGGTCAATGTCCTCACACGGTTGTTGACAGACAGCCAACGGTTTATTATCCATTGCTGTTTTTCAAATTTAATAATTGTTTCTTACACATTGTAGACAGATAAGTGAGATAAAACATTCAAAAACACAAATAAGTACAAAATATAATAGTAAAATAAATTGTGGGAATGTCTATTTTGTATATAAAAATAAAACTCAGCCTTGTGTAATCACCCTAAAATTGTTACAAAATGAACACGAACTATTACTATTACTTACATCTTCACGCGCGGTCAAACGAACCAGAACGAGAGGATATTTTTATTTTTGAAATGAATCACTAAAAAATTGTATTGAGGAGCTAAAACAAATATTAATGTCGTAAAATTAACAAGTACCCACATTTAATGTAAAATTCAGTAAATGAGGAATATTTTAGATGCTCCGTGGTTTTGAACTTATTTTTTATTAATTAATTTTATAATAATTAAGAGGGCGCTGCGTCGGCGCGAGTCGAACTCGATAACATTTGAGTGATGTGAGTGATATCTTTACACCACACGTTATGAACATTTTACGTGTTAAATTACGACATTTTACTAAATAATATGATTGATATTTGAATCAAGTCCACAAATGCCAAATATACAAAAAAATATTCTTAAAATTATAAATCAGAATATATTTCTAGATACGAAGTAAGGCCTTTAGCACAATTTCTTTTTTTTTCCAATTTTAATTAAATTTTAATATTTTTTTATGAATCACAAGACTATTTTTTCTGTAAATGCAATAAATCTAAATTTATAAGTTATCGTTCTAGTGAGTCTTAGTAATTATTTAAGATTAAAACACACAAAAGGCACTGTATACGGGGTGTACAATGATCGTTCCTGAAAGCGAATACGAAATGCAATAAAAAAACAAACGATAAATGCATTAGCTCGTGTTTCGTCCTAATCAAGCGCGGCGCGGGTCCCGCGTGCTCGGAGCGCGGTGGCGGCCGACTGTCGGCTTCGCTTTACATTGCGGGTCCAGAAAATTCGGGGAACATTTATGATTATTTAGTTCACCAATAATGCTTTATTTTAGAACAAATTTGGTCAGCATAAAAAACGTTATAGTGAGCCAACCTTAACACCGGTCACTCACATGCGCACGAATACGCAAACCCGCAAGTGTAGGACGACATTTGCAAATGATTATGCAAAGTTTTCGCTACATTCGTGGTTTTCCAAGCTGTGTTGGTTTTTTAACAGACCTCAAAGCGTGCGAACCGCGAACCTTCGCGTAGTCTCCCACATATTCGTTTGCCCAGTTGCGCCGACGATTGCGAAGGTAACGGACGTATACTATACGCCATTTTCATAGTTCGTGACGTCTACTGTGTAGCGTATCTTCATCAAAAGAAATCCCATAAAAACAGCATGGCTGAAATGATGTCTCGGAAAGAATTAAAAACTCTTTTTCTCTTCAATATTCTATTGACGAATTAAAAAGGAGGAGAAATTGGTGAGACATTCGTAAATAAGTGCAGGAGGAAGCGCAAACGGGTTCGCAAATTGAGTATGCGAACCCATTTGCACAGCCGCTAGGTTTGCGAATGAATGTTTGACGGCCCTTCACATGCGCGCAAACATTCGTACATTGTACGAATGTTTGCGCGCATGTGAAGGTCAGTGGCCGGCATAACATAGACATATGCTGTCGCGGACTTTTTTTAAGTTCTTTTGAAGGGAAACAATTCTGTCATACATTATTTTAGCAAAACTTTAATCGTTTCTGCAGCGCACGCAGCGGAAACTCTCAAAAGGAAAAAAATCCCGATTTTGAAACATTATTTATTGGTGCTCCGCTTGTATTGGTCTTAGCGTGATGTTATATAGCCTATAGCCTTCCTCAATAAATGAGCTATCTAACACTAAAATAATTTTTCACATTGGACCAGTAGTTCCTGAGATTAGCGCGTTCAAACAAACAAACTCTTCAGGTTTATAATATTAGTATAGATTTAGTAAATGCATCATCTCTGTGTACGACAGTAATTCATTCCTATTTCAGTTTCACGACCGACCTTCTTACACCCGGTATCTTCTTAAATTCTAATCCAATTGATTTGTATAAAATTCAGTTATAAATGGACGGACACACTTTTTCTATATTACAACTAGATTATACAAATCCGAATAGAGAAAATTAATTTTCATATGAAGCTGAATAATCGCTAGATTCAAACCAGAGATTCGAGGTTTAATTTTCAGTTTCTTTAAAACAATGTCTATTGAATAAGGCCTTAGTCCAGACCGGCAAGATCAGTCCAACTTAAGTATGGCCCAAGTGAGATTGGTCTGCTCGATGTGGTTAAATTATTCCAGCATAAGCTCGAAGTGAACGACCCCTAGCTTCTCCCGGCGGTCGTACCTGATGTTCTTGGCCCAGGCGCGACACTCGATGTTCAGTATTATGCCAGCTGAAAGAAAGGTATTTTAAGTTTTTTTAAGAGTGCCAACGCACGGTATCATGACTGGTCGAAATTCCAACTGCACATATTATTTATCGGCTGTCCCAGTAATGCAGCCGCTGATATAGCTTCTCAAGGCTATCAGCTTAAGTAGGAAAAAAAAAAAGTAATGCAGTAATGCCGATTGGTGATAGCAGTTTGCTGCCCATTCTCCTGCGAATCCATCAGTCGCTTTACGACACCCTCGGGAAGAGATTGGAGATGCTATTCTAGCCCGACACCACTCGGCCACAAGACACATCAAAGTTAACTTACTTTTAGGAGATTGAAGATGTATAGCCACGAGCGGACTCAAATATCCCTCCGCGTTTTCATAGGGATAGAAATATCCCGGGAAACCAGGGTAAGGCAGGTAGCTGATGGGGCCCAACATCTCCCTGTCGGCCGGGGTCTCGCCTTGGCACGACACCCACACCATGTTGGCCTGTGGACCAATCGTTCACTTTGATGCTTTGCACGAGTACACGTGACAAGGACCTATGTAAAGTCCCTCGGTGCAATACTGACATAGTCCCGGTTGTTGGCGGTGGCGTTCGTGATGTAGGAGACCAGGTCGTCGGGCATGTCGGGCGGGAGGCTCGCCAGGTCGTCGAAGAACTCGGGCCGCCAGCCGTAGATCCTGCAACATTCCGCGTGCGCTCTGAGCACAGTGCCAGTATGGGACGACAACGGCGGTATTGATGTAATTATATGATTAGACCGCGGGGGTCCAGAGGTGTATTGTGGTCTACTGGTGGAAGGACATATTCTGGGCCTTCTCGAGTGAGGAACACCATGCCGCATCAATCCTGGGTTCGGTTTGAAGGGTGGGGCAGCTAAAACACATGTGGAGCTTGGCCTCACGTCCGAAAGTGGTTGGTGGAATTTACTTTATGATGGACTAAATTAGACCATTGATACCAAGTGTAGTGTCGGACAAGCGCTTTCTCTTCGAGTATTATACAAGCACATTAAGTTCACGAAACAGCGTTAACTCGCACTGGTAGGCGGCAACAGTTTTTTTTATTGCTTAGATGGGTGGACGAGCTCACCGCCCACCTGGTGTTGTGGTTAACGGATCGCATAGAGATCTACAACGTAAACGCACCACCCACCTTGAAATATAAGTTCTAAGGTCTCAAGTATAGTTACAACGGCTACCCCACCCTTCAAGCAGTTTCACGGCAGAAATAGGCGGGGTGTTGGTACCTATCCGTGCGGACTCACAAGAGGTCCTACCACCAGTAAAAAGTGTCTCTGTCTAAACAGTGTCTCTGTCGCGAAGCTGTCACGTATTCCGGTGCTCACCAGCAACTTAGTCACTCTGTCTGCTCCTCCGCGGCTAATCGCGATATTCTGTCTGAACGGTAGAATCGTCTTGGACATTAATTACTAAGAACCAACCTAGATATTTCTAGTTTTCATTGTTAATCCATCCATTTAGGGCAAAATAACTTAGTACAAATGCAATTGAATGCAATTGAAACCTCATTAGGACGTGGGAAGATACCTTCACGTCGTGTGACGCCTGTGTGCTCAAGGAACCACTTAACATGTATTGGGGCGTAATCTGATCCCTTTCTCTCTCTCTCTCTCTCTGATCAGCCCATTTACACAAACAGGATTCTCAACAATGAATTATTTTAAAATAAAATACCTATTAAGCTTCAGGAAGATGCAAGGTGAAGACTTGTGGAAGGAGAAGTGATTCTCTTCAATGCAAGGATCCCAGCTTCGGATGTCTACGTCACAGACCTTGCCAGGGGGAGGTGGATTCCTAAAGTCACAGTTGAAAATATTCTGACCCGTGCCTGCCGTCTGCCCCTTCTTCTTGTATACTAAAATTTGAAATTCATGGATCAATTTGAAATTGTCACATTTGTACCGCAAGGCATACTGTAAAATTTACAGTTTATCTAATTTTATATATTTATCTATTAACAAAACATTTAACAAAAGTTCACTGCTGGACAAGGGCCTCCATCAAGGCTTGCCACAATAACAGGCCCTGTGATGCCTGCAGCTAGTTGTGAAAGGCCTACCCACATATCTATACTAATAACTAGTCAGGTCATAAGTATTGTCACACAGTAAAAACTTTTCTTTTAGAATGCTGGCCACAAAAAAGTTTATTGAATTCGAATTTCGAATTGTTCATGAAAATAAAAATGTATACTTTTAGAATTTTACTCATTTTTAAATATGGAGTGGACGCTTAAAGAAGACCGTGTTGCAGTTATTGCGTTGCATCGTTGCGGTTACGCGCCAATTCAAATTTTTAACATACTGAAAAATTTGAATATAACCAAAAGATTCGTTTATCGTACCATCAAACGATACAATGAAGACTCTAGTGTAGATGACAGATCAAGAAGTGGTCGCCCTCGGTCTGTTAGGACTCCAGCAGTGATAAAAGCTGTGAAGGCGCGAATTCAAAGAAATCCCAAACGTAAGCAGAAACTGTTGGCCCT